CCAGCAAGTAGCAAGCCAGTCAGCTGATCGGCACTCCCCACCTGGAGGGCACACTGGAGCTCCTGACTGACGCAGGCTCATGATACAGGGCTCCCCCTGTACTGGCAACGTGGCACAGTTGGGAACTGATCCCCAATCACCGCTTGCCATGCATGTGTAGCATGCCATGAAGCACAATTGTTGGGATCATGCATCAGATCCCATGGTGCCTTTAACCAAGTGTCTGCCAGAGGCCTAAGTCAGCCACATTATTCAAGCTTAAAAAAGCTCACTTTGTAAAGTTTCTACATAAAATTCCTTGGAGGATTCCAGAAAAAAAAGTTTGAAATTGCACCTTTGATCTTTAAGGCTAAGTACAAACAGTCAAAAAGCCTGAGGCTGAATTAATTTAGTCTTTGCAGGTTAGTCTAAGCTGCGCAGATTGAACTGATAAGCAAGTGAACAGACATCCGCTTGTGGTTCAGGAAATGCAGCCACATGCCTGCAGTGGCCCAAGCCAGAAGCTGAAGTGGTGGGGTAAGGTATGCTAAAGCATACCACTCTGCTCAGCTGGAGAAGATAGCTTGGGCCAAAGCTAGCCAACCCCACCCTGCCAGGAGGGTTTTGTGGGGGAGGTGTACAGCATCCTGGGATGCTGGGGGACTAAGTTAACTTGAATCTGGAGGGGATCTGGGACAGAATTTCAATAAACTGATTTCATCTACATTGGTTAAGTCTGATACTACATCCATCAAGGTATATTTTAAACAGGTTTCGGCCATTTTGAAAGCAGTTTATGGCCACTGAACTTCTGTTGTGTTACAGATTTCAACTAAATTTCCAATCACTTACACAAGTTTGTGTGTAATTTCTGTCCCTATCGTAAATCAGGTATATTGATTTAGCCAGAGAATCAGGCACTTCATTTCCTTAAATTTAAATACAGCTACGACAATTAACTTCTGTTTCTTTTTCAGTTAGGACAGAATTACTTCAGTTTCTGTTGAAATGGGGGGGGAGGGGGGCGCACGCGCATCTCTCCAATTATGAGATTAAGCCAGGAGTAGGATTCTTGACACTAAATCTAAATATGAACCCCATCTCTCATATTATTCCAAAAGACTACATCTTTGTAAACACCAAGTTGAGCTACAAAAACACTCATTTAGCATTTAGAAACATTCAATATTGTTGCAACTTGGAACAAAACATTCAGAATTTAAACTGAAAAATTACGCATTTTACCAAAAATAATCTTACTTTTCCTTCTTTGGCTTTGTATTAATATCTCCAAGAACCATGATATCTGAGAAGTCTATCCGAAATTTGCTAAGTAGAGTAGCCATTCTAAATAGAAAATAAATAAATAGATAAAAAGTTGTTGTATAGTACATTTGTAAATGTATTTAAGCTACGTATTTACAGTATTTAAAAAAAGCACTTCAAATATTCTTACGAACTTCACAAGACAAAATAGACATAGACTTGGTTTTTTGACACATTTGGGACCCAGTGGCCACTTCTACACAGTCAGCATCTCATTTCATTACTGCACTATAGCACTGCATGGCAGGAAGTGTGACATGACACTACTGCACAGTAGTCGTGAGCTACCGTGCAGTCAGCATCACCTAAAAGCCATTCAGTAACACTACTCCACAGTAACTCAGTACTGTTTATACAAGTACTAAATTACTGTACAGTAATGACTGCGCAGTCAGTGTCTTGTGTAGATGCAGCCCCGATAAGTGAATGATAGGGAGAAGCAGGAGAACAAGCTAGAGCTCTGCTAAAACTAAATATTTTCTTCAGATGTCAGCATACTTTGAGGGCTCAATTGTAAATATTTGTAAAATAATTAGAAAAGATAAGAACTGAAGCCGTATAGAAACCTTCCCATAAAGCCTTTGAGAAACGTGGACATGAGAGAGAGAGTTCACAAAATGAACCAGAAGCCACAGCTTTATAAACAAAAACATGCATCCTCCAGGCAGATAAGTCACAAAAATGCTGTATCAAAGGATGCAGTTGGAGAATTGGTACAGCTTGATGGATTCAAGCCAATTCAGTTTTGGGGCAAGGAGATTACAGTAGCTGCATCAAAAAAGAGCCATAGACCCAAGCTTACTTGTATACCAGATAGCTGCTTTGAAAGCAGAAGCAGCTGACTTACAAACATTTGGAATCCCCGGTACTATAAATGTATCCTTAAGTTAAATGGTATGTTTTTCATAAAAAAAAGACATGAAAAGTGCTATGCCTTAAAAACCTACAGCAATTGGCTTTTACTGACCAATGCCATAATAATAATAATGATGATCATAGTCATCATTAGTCCATATGGATCAAATAAGGTGGACCCTTAACTGTCAGACCACACATGGGCTGTGCGCGGACAAGCGTGGATGTTTGGTTCCCCAGAGACACATAGCAGCTGCACACCTTGTGCTGCTACCTGTCCTCAGAGAATGCCTGTGCCACACGTGCTCTGGAGCACAGCAGGTTACCCCAGATGGGGTAGTGGAGGCCAGGGCCAGCAACTGTGCTGGCCCCAGCAGCCTTAGCTGGGGTCCTGGGGGCTGGGGAAGCTGCAGCCGCAGCACTCCCGCAGCAGGAAGCCTAATCGGCAGCCAGACCATGACTCCCACCAATTGGCAGCCAGACCATGACTCCCACCAGCTAGGCTCCGATTTTGGGCAGCATGCACTGCTGCCACGTGTGCCACTCCGCTTATTTTCCCTGTGCACAGAAAACTCCCAAAATGTGCAGTTTGCCACATACTGCACGGCCATGCTCATCTGGACATGGCCATAGGGGTTATACAAACACTTGCGCATTACCCCAAAAGAATGCGGACATCATCCTAAACTAGGAGTACAATACAATCAATTAGTAACAATGGATTCCCATTCTCCAATATTCTCAAATATGACAGGAAGAGCCATTTAAAAATATGCAAATTGAGCACAGCTACCACCTAATATCAAAAAACCCACAAACAGAACAGTTTTAAGGTTAACTTACGCTCTCCTATCATGATCTATCCTGTTTATTTTTCCACCAATAAAAACTCTGATCTTACAGTCTTTCCATTTCTTCTTCGTTGTCAGAAGATAAGGAATCAACAATGTCAAACCTGCATTAGACAAAACAGTTAGGAATATCTTAATTTTAAAATGTGAAATTTTTACATTGTACGACTGAAAATATCCATCACCTAGTGCTTTCATCATCAGAACATTTCTAGTAACATCTTGGTAAAATAACTTACCTCCATCATCAAAAAGCCACCAAACATCAATATTGTTTTTTCCTTGTTTCTTCTGAAACTGAGTACTAGCATCAAGAAGTCTTTGGTCAGTCAAGTTTAAGGGAGAAGAATGACCTTTAGAGTCTGGCAAATAGAGGGGGGCAGAGGGGGGTGGTGGAAAAAAAGCAAACAGAAGAGAGAAGTTGAAAAGGATGAATTAAAAAATAAACACTTTTGCTTAAGTACCCCCAAACTCAATTACAGCATCCTTATCTGTTTTTCAAATATTCCAAAGTTCTTGTAAAAAGAACCTGTCATTGCTTCAAGCTTGCTTAAGCAGAGTTGAAGAAAGTGCATACTAAGGAATATTTAAGGACTCTGAATCCTCCACCTGCCATTTCTTTGTTTGCCAGAAACAAAGAGCAAGCCTTCGGTCAGTACAGTTTGCAAGACCCTTTCCCCACAGTAACAGTTCTGAGGATGTAATGAGAAACACTCAAAAAAAGAAAAAAATCACGAGCAGTCACTCCTCTTCTCTCAAAAGCTAGTGAGAACACCTGTTGCTCTAGCTTCACTAACTGCACCTATGAATTCCTTCCTTCCTTCAAGATTTTACCAAGGAAAAAAAGAAAGAAAACCAGCACTTCCGAAGTGTTATTTTCTTTTCTATAAAAACATACAAAACCAAACTGTAGACAGAAACCACTGATTTTTTACTTTAGTGACTTCTATACAGAATACTGACTGTTTTTTAATACGAGTCCACATTCAAAAAAGAAAAAAAATCCACCATAAAATATTGTTTAGTTCCTATAATTAAAGTGTACTTTTGCTTTAACTAACCATGACTACTTTAAAGGGAAGTCAGAATGAAATAGACCAAGAGGCGAGATGAATGAAAAGCCAACCTCTTTCCTTGGTCTAATATTTAAATGTGTGGAAAAATTAGTTATTTGATGTTTAACTTGGACTTGATATAATAAATTCATACAAAATTTAGGTTAAATCAGTATGCTATTTTACAGAATACTGAGACTTCTTCCAAGCTGCCATCTTGACCTCTACCACCTCAGCTTTTATACAGAGGTAATAAAGTAGAAATGCCTTTTTTAAGGAGATAAAAAGAGAAAAGAAAACAAACATACAAGTTTGCTGATTAAGGGAAGCATTGCTACCTCTGCTGAGAGCCTGGAATTACAGCTTCAAGAGATGAGATGAACTTAGAAGTTCATGATGAAGTATTGACTCAGATACCAGTGGTGAAAACTTTAGTTTAAATGTTATCTATTCCACTGATCGTGGAGGATGACAGTCTTCCTAGGTTATGGGACATTTCAGATACTATATAACAGGGAAACGGTCCATACCTTCTTCCTCTCACCCCAAACCAAATAGTTGCCCAGGCTGCCATGCAAACCCCATTAAGCAGCCCTGGAAAACTTGATACAGTCCCACCTCATTTAATGGAAGGAAAGTTCAGGAAATTACAAGCATGCACAATTTTAAAATTTGACTATATATGCATAATCCATTATAAATAGTAACATTCTCAAGACTCAGAAAGGGTTTTTGTTAGGTTTTGGTTTTTTTGTTTGTTTGTTCGTTTTCATTGTTGTTTTTAAATGAGAGATGATGTCGAGAGTACCACCACCTGTTTCTTGCCGCTATTTAAGGTCTTACTTCAAACACTTTTCTAACCCAAGTTCAACAAAGAAACAAAATTAAAAACATTCATTGGATGAATCTATACATCTAATCCAAAAAGAAAGAAAGGAAAAGTGAAAAGTAACAATATGGAAAAAATGATTAAAAATAAACAAAAGGATGGAAAATGCCTGCCTTTTTTCAATAGTGGTTGTGTTGGAGTCTTGCCATCCTCTTCCTCCTCTGGAAGATGTTTAAAAATACAAAAATGTTGCATTAATGAAGATGTAACTTGTGTACACATTTAGGAAACAAGCATAAAATGAAGCTGCACTCCATAAAAACATAACCAAAACATGAACGAGGCCTACCATGTCCTGTACCAATGGTTAGTATTTTAAAAAGTACATGTTAATCCTCCACATATCCAACTAGCTAATAGCTTACTTCCCCCCACCCCCAAAGAAACTTTAGAAAAAAAATTCTTTGTTATACTAATGCAAGGCATCAAGAGTGTTTTAGAACATTTGCTATTATGCATGTAATTAAACATTCTATTTTGAGATCAAAGTTTCCTACTGGAGGTAAACTTTAAAATAATCAATGTATCAAAGACTGGCGACACACAAGAGAAAGTAGTAATTTAGTTCTGTACAAAGTGCTTCATCACCATCATTAACTAGAAAATTACCTTTTTGTAGAACAGGAGTTTTTTCACTGGATGGTGGAGAAAAAGCCTTAGAAGTATCTGTCTCAGTCTTCTTGCTGTAGTCTACATTTACTATAACATCTTTAGAACTTGGAGATTTTTCTTGAGAGGATAGTAACTCTTCTGTGAAAAAGAAGAGTTATAACATATAGCTAAATACAAGACAAAAAGTATCATTTCTAACCAAAAAAGTATATAATGGTACTTGAATAATTATTGATTATACAATATATAGTTCCACTGAGGGCCATTACGTGTGAACATATTAGAATAAGAACAAGGTCAAAACCTGGAACCTTTAGTATCACTAGATCGCAAAGATCCTTTAACCATTTTCTGTCCCAAGCTAAGCATTCTTCCTAAAACATTAAGCCAACACAACTATATTTCTGTAGTGTTCTTAAAAGCTGTCCTTCTATATTACTGAAAAAGATCTATTTTTAGAAACATTGATACAAGCTTTTTTTGACAGAAGTGGAAGATAACAAGAGCTGTAGAGTCTACTAATAAAAAAGTCATGCTAAAAAACCTGAACAGAAAGAAAGTTCTCTGTCCACCAGTTAGACCAGTGATTTTCAAACAGGGTGCCACAACACCATGGAGTCCTATGACAGCCTGTGAAAGGTGCCATCAGGAGAGAAGAGCTATACGAGATGAGCACAGGCCCCCAGGGAGGGGATAAGTGCTGGCTCTTCCCTTTCAGCTGCTCCCCCTCACTGCAGTGCAGACTCTTCCCTGCCAACTGTTCCTCCTTCTTCCCAGCTCCTCTTCAAGGTAAGCACTGTAATAAATAGTTTATGAAATGGGGTGCTGCTCAATTCACAAAAGTTATGGAGGGCTCCCAAGAGTAAAAAGGCAGAGAAAACCACCGAATTAGTGAACCACTACTGACAAAACTTCCTTAAGTTTGAGGCACATGGTAAAAGCATCTTACTCCAGGCCATGCAGTTTACTGAAACAGTTCATAGCACCACATACTAGTCACGTTTGACACTGCCAATTATGAGACCCTGTTTTCCACTACTTACAGATTTGACAGTCATTCAGATTAAAGGGGCATGCTACACATTCGATTTATGGTGCCATACAAAAACAGCCATAAAGATGTTCCATGTTTTTTGTGGAACATCTTTGTAGCCAGTTTGCCACTTTATGGCACAATAAATTGGCTGAATGTGTAACACTTGCTATTTATGATGAAATTAACATGTTCATCACACAATAAAAGTAGCATGTCTCAAGGGTCTAAATTACTGGAGGTTATGTAATTAAAATGCTTCACCTTGCAACTTTGCTAATATTCTTTTAAAGGTAGCGGTTTTGTGGTAGAATACAAAGCCTATGAACTGCTTCACTGGAATTTCAATTATTTTGTGTGTTGGACAAGCTATAAGGAAATATATTTCCAAATTGATGTACTACTTACAATATTTAAAACTACTGGTGTCTGCAAAATGGACAGGCAGGAATTCAAAAATCTTTGGTAATGTGTTTGTCAGATGAAGTTTAGTTCTTCTACACTGTCAGTGTTTTTCAAATCTGTAATATTTGGTAGAGTATATAGTATGAACTTGTATGTGTAAAATATTAAATCTTGAGGAACTTTATAGCTGGTTATAAACCGAGATAAAAAATGTTTCTCAAGTTAAAATAAACATGTGGATGAATTTAAAACTAATCTTCAATAATAAGTCATACATACTCCAACTCTAAAAAAATATACATAGATTCATAGATT